CAGCATTCACTGTACTTCTGATCACACCTTGTAAAGCCACACTTATAACCCCAGCACTTATAACTTATAACACTTGTAAAGCCACTTATAACCCCAGCTACTTGGGAGACTGAAGCAGGAGGATCACAAGTTTGAGGTTAGCCTTAGTGAGATCCTGTTTCAAAACAAAGCTTGAAACCATAAAATAAAAAGGGTTGTCAATGTAGCTCAGTAGCAGAATGCTTATCTAGCATGTGCAAAGCCCTGGGTTCAATCCCTTGCACAATGACAACAACAACAACAACAACAACAACAAAAAGCAAAGGACTTAAATAGACATTTCTCCAAAGAGATATACAAATGACCATCATGTATATGAAAAAGTGTTCAACATTTCTTACATTCAGGGAAATACAAATCAAAACCTTGGTATCACTTCACAAATTTCTAATTTTTATGAAAAAAATAGTGCAAGCAAGGAGGAAGAAAAATTGGAATCTTTGTACACTATTAGCAGGAATGTAAAATGCAGCTGCTATGGAATGCAGTATGGAGTTTTCTCAAAAAAATTAAAAATAGGACTACTATATAATCCAGCACTTCCATTTCTGCATATATTTTCCCTTAAGCATTGATGGAAGTATACCTCAAATACTGATGGAGACTTATGTTGATTACATATATATTTCAAATGGAAATGGTAGTTTTACTTGCACTATTCTATCTTTGAAAACTAAACAGTGGATTATAAATTGCAAATATTCACTTAAAAACTTTTAAAGTCAAGTCAGACATGGTGATGCATGCCTGTAATCCTAGCAATTTGTGAGGCCGAGGCAGGAGGATTTCAAGTTTGAGCCCATCCTGAGTGACTTAGGAAGACACTGTCCTGAAACAAAATATAAAAAGGGGAGAGGGGCCGGGGATTTAGTTCAGTGGTGCCACCGCCTGCCTCGAAAGAACAAGGTCCTGAATTTGATCCTGGGTACCAAAATAACGGGGCAAGGGGAGAGGAAGATTTAGCTCAGAGCAAAGACCTTGGGTTCAATCCTCGGTATCAGGAAAAAGAAAAGAAAAAGAAAAAAAATCACAACTTTTTAACCCCAAAGTTATTAAAATAATCCTTGAAATTTAGGAAAATCTGAGTTGTGTAGTTATCACAGATAATCAGCCATGTAAAACCAAAAGCTTTTAAAATATTGCTGTAATATTATTTGGGCCAAATTAGCATAAGATTCTGATGAACCATGGTCATTGTTTGATACCCAACAAGAACAAGTAATTATATTCATTCATACACTAACTTTAGTCTTTTCAGTATTACACACACTCTTTAAAACTGGGATAACACTAGTACCTTCCCTTAGGCATTCAATCAATGCTTAGAACACAGCAAACACTCACCAAATATCATTAGCATGGTTATTTTCTTTGTTATATACATTATTATCAAAAATATAAAATGGCAAAACCCTTAAAGAAACGCAGCTGAATTTACTGAGTGCTTTAAGTAGTATCTTATCTTTATACAACAATAGTAGCTACTATGTATTAAAAACAATTTACATTATTTCATAGCAACAACTGAAATTAGACTTCAGCATTGAGGTTGAAAACTAGTCATAACCCACTTATATTCATTATGTTCTAGATCTAAAATGCCTCCTACAAATCTCATTGTCAAGAAGTGGGGCCTGATTGGCTGAAGGGGCCAGTCACTGGGACTGTGACCTGGAGGGCTGTATTCACATCCAGGCTTCCCTCTCTCTCTCTGCTTCCTAGCTGCCATGCAGTGAACAGCTTTCCTCCACCATGTGCTATCACCATGCCTCTTCTGCCTCGGAGCCTGTCAACCATGGACTAAATCCACTGAAACTGTGAACCCAAACAAAGCTCTCCTCCCTCCTGTAAGTTGTGAGTGTCAAGTATTTGTTCCAGCAATAAGAAAGCTAATACACTGTTTCATCTCTTTTTTTTTTCTTTTACTCACATTTTCAAAAGTACCTGGCTACCTGCTGGTGACTTCTCGCATATGTCATGATCAATCTAGGTGCCTTGATAAAAAGAATAATAGCTTCTATTTCACTTTAGTTTCCCAATCAGAAAATAAGAAAGGAAAATGATCAGAAAAATTAGAAAAAGCATGAAACATTATTTTTAAAAACACATGTTGGTCTGTTGGTCTGAGGATTTATCATCAGCACTATGATTCTTCCCTTTTTGCTTTTCCTCAAGCTATAGAGGGCTCTGTATCACCTACTAGCCTAGCAACACTGGCATTTTCCTATAACTGGTCTTCAACTCCCCCAAAGGCAATGACTGCCAGAAAAGTACCACTGGCTCAAACTGCATCTTTCCAGACCCTCTTCCAAGGAAAGCAGTGCATTAGCTGTTTTTCCAGCCAAGTGAAATAAACACACAGGGTGAAAAATACTGGACTGATTTAGTATCTTCAAGGTAAATGGTGAGTAAAAGAATGAACAATATATCTAAGGAAGAGATGTCCAAGAAGGAGATGGTGTCCCTTACCTCAAAGCTAAGAAAATATTCTTATTGTTGTGTGTGTTCTATCAATAGAAAAAAATTTTCATAAATCCTTGAGAATCATCTTAAAAAGTAAAAATCAGAGGAGAATCAAAATAAATCCCTAGGAAATGTTTTTCAAAGAATTTTGATCAATAAACCTTGACATCTACTAGCTAATCAGTTGGCTTTTTGTTTGTTTGTTTTGTTTTTTGAGACAGGATCTTGCCATGTAGATCAGGCTGGTCTTGAACTCACTATGTGGCCCAGGCTGGCCTCAAACTTGCAGAAATCCTCCTGCCTCCGCCTCCCAAGTGCTGGGATTACAGGCATGTACCACCATGCCTGACCCACGTTGGCTTTATTCTCTTCTTACAATACTTTCAAGCCCTCCAATACTACATACAAAATAAAGTAATCCAAATTGTGATACATTTAAAATAACTAACACAGAGGACTGTATTCATCTGTAGCCCCAATATTTGGCTAAATTTCAATGAACCTCTGAATTAATTCTAAGTGTAATCAGAGCATACACAAACACCACATGAGCAACTCTGGCTTAACTTCAATGACAAAATATTTAGAAACTCTTATGGGTACTCAAACTGAGATCTTTTGGGGTTTTGTTTGTTTTGAGTCAGGGTCTCCCTTTGTCAAACGAGATCTTTCTAAAATGGAAAACTAGAGTTTATTGTCTTGTTTGTTGCTTATCAACTTTAGAAATGGTTCTCACAGATTTAAAGAACAATTTTGCTCATTATCATCTTTAAAATTTGTTGTACAATGAAGTAATCTTAGATGACATAATTATAATTCCTTCATAAATAAGCTTACCTCTGAAATCAGTGAGAATTTTGTTAACACCAGCATTGCTCAGAAATCACTATGACAGTCTGACTAGGCTTGGAATAAAGAAGCAATAGGTTTTCCATTTGTTTTTACAGCACAAGAGTCAAACTCAGGACCACACATACCTCTCATAGAACAGACCGAACTTTAAACCTACACTATTTAAACATTAACTTCTTAACTATCTTGGAAGAGTGGATCATCATTTCAAAAACTTTTAAATGAATCCAGACCTGTGAGTGCTTTACTAAACTGTGATTACATAGTTCCATTAAACATACATGAAGCACAGGACTCAGTGTCATGAGCCCTTTCTCCATTAGACCTCTGCTTCTTGAACTGGGTTATAAAGCATGAATATATTTCAGTTCATCAGATGTGAACTGGAAATGCCAGAAGTGTTTGAGGAGATTAAATGGCTGGCTTCAATGCATTCCAATATAAAGCTTATCCACATACTTATATAAGTGAAAGGTCCTAAAAATTATAATGTGATAGACTTCAGGATAAGAAAAGCAATGCAACAATGCATCTGGGCCAGCAGGTGTCTCCCCACAGTCCATGACACCCACCAAGATGGCCAGGTATAAAAAAACCATACCACTGTTATAACTGTGTGATCCCTGGACAGTGTAAGGGCATGGGATCAGACCATCAGAAAAGCTAATTTTTATGATAAACTGTATATAAAGACCAAAGCACATCATAGGAATTAATGAAAAATATAACAAAAGATATGGTGAATGTTTAAAAACTTATGACAATAAAAGATACCTTACCATTAACCCCCCCTTGAAACACTCCCCCTCACTTCAAAAACAGCCCATTATTCTTGCCACTTTCTGAAGCAGTTCTGGAAGTCCACTTTCATGAGTGTCTAGTTGCGCTGTTATGGTGGCTTCAATGTCCTCAAGCAGTTCAAACTGTTTTACATCAATTTCTGTCAAATACTGTATAACATTACAGTGTGTCTTAATCCACCTTATTCACCAGACATGGCATCATGTAACTTCGGACTCTTCCTCTAAGTCAAACTGATCATGAAAAAGTTACATGTTTTGAATCAATTCAAGGCATCACAGCAGCCACAACACCACAACTACTTCAGCAAGTTGCAAGAATGAAGGGGTAAGTGTGTTTGATGTGAAAGGGAGTGTTTTCGAGGGCAAGTGATGATATGTTTTTTACTGTCATAAAGTTTTTAAAATTAAATACATTTCAATTGTACAGCATAAGTTTTCTGTTTGTTTAGCCAGGATTTTGTGTGTATTCAGGCTGGTGTCAAACTCTTGGATCAAGCAATCCTCAGACCAAGTTGTTGGAACCACAGGCATATATCACTGTGCCAGCCCGAAAATTACATTTTATAAACAAGAGCCAACAGCAAAGGGATCTACTTCACTCAAAATGGTAAATAAAATGATTTAAGTTCAAACACAAAGTTGAAGAAGGAATGATAATTGAAGAAATAGAAGCTGAATTTTGAATGAGACAAAGTGCAACACATAAAGGATTAAGATCAGTTTGAGGGTGTAGTGGGATGAAGGGACTCGTGCATATCAGTGCAGAACATGGGTAGATGGGCAAAAAACCATGTGTCCCATCATAGTACTAAAATACTCCGAGTTTATCCAAGGACAACTCACTAGCACAGCATGAGATCCATTTCAGGCTGAAGACCAGGGAACTGTGGGGTCTACGGCATCAACCAGATGGAAAGGCTCAAGTCTCTGAACAGAGAGGCAAAAAGATGCAGAAATTGGTGCCACTCCAAAGAGATGCTATGCTGGTGGAGAGAGGAAAAAGGTGACATTTCAACATTGCATTCCATTGCCAAGTGGAGTACTTGACATATACAATGTACCTTATTAGTGTTTACTGAATGCATCAGTAGCCTCAGCAATGCCAACACCTTTTCAGGCTGGCACTTAGGCAGGTTCAATAGCCTAGATTTTCTTACTCCAAGTTATCATCTGCCACCTGCAGAAAGTGGCAGTGCTGCTCCTCATGTCATTCTTCCCTAAGACATCTCAAGTTCAAAGAACTCTGTTTTGTCCCCAAAATGAAACCAGTTTGACATTTATGAGGTTATGATCAAGGGGTGCTCAAATGTTTACTCAAAGATGAAGGAGTTAGGGTTCTCAGTGCCACTGAACAGGCCAGAGAGGCCACATCAGAACTTATAAATGAAGTTCGTACTTGCTTTATGAGCAAAAGGTGTGGTTTTGGTGGGGGCTTTGTTGTGTGGCTATAATGGCTTGTTTGGGCTCCACGTAAAAGGATTTATTAATAATATTAAACACTTGGTGGGGGATTTAGCTCAGTGTTCCTGCCACCTGCCTCGAAAGTGCAAGGACCTCAGTTCGATCCCAGGTACCAAAATTTAAAAAAAAAAATAATAATAATATTACACACTTATATACTACTTACAGCATGCCAAGTACTGTTCCAAGCATTTGTAAATATTAACCTGCTTACTAAATATATATAGAAGTCCTGCCAATTTCAGTTACCTGTTCAGTGTTTTACTTGGTTCCATTAAAAGTACCTCTGTTTTTTCCATTTTTCTCCTGCAAAAGATGAAGAGAATACTGTTTGTGAACAGTCACAAATCCACGTCTTACACATCATTATTTGATATTTTCCACACTCGAAAGTACCAAAAGGGCTTCCCCTTAAGCTCTAGTCCATTATTTGAGCTGCCTAAATTTACTGGGTTCATAAAAGAATCTATTAAAAAGACATCATCTCTACTCATATTACTGTATGTATTACTAATATGGGATTTGAAAAACAAATACTTTATGGCTTCAAAAGAAATTAAGTTGACACAGTAAACACAGGCACAGGAAAACAATTTAGAGTAAGGTTCTCTTTGACTCTGAATACTTCTATGTTTGATACGATTTTTCAAACCATAGTCCCACTGAAAATCTTTATTTAGGTGAACACTTTTCACCCCAGGTGAAATAACTGCAATTCCAAATATAGGATGGATTGGTAGATGTAGTTTTAAATGGTTTACTTGAAATTTTAAAACATTATAATGGAAAGCATTCATCAGAAAAAAGGGTGCTGCTCAGGAAAGTCAGCTGTTTAAAAAAATCTCTAGCATGTGACAGTCACCCTAGGGAATTCATGACCATCCAGGTTCAGTCCTTCAATTCTGCTGGTTCCAAAAGCCTATCGCACTATAAAGTCCCATAAATGATCGAGTTGATCAGTATTTACTCACGCTGATGAAGCTCACAAGAGACTGATAAAGCCGTAAGGCCCATGTATACATTCACAATGAAAAAAGCAACTGTGAGACAGTCTGGACACTTGCACCATTCAGTCTGACTAATATAGTCCCATTTCTTCAGTCAGCAGCTATTTACTGAGCACCAATTCACCCCAGGCACAGGCACCTAACAGGCATATTAAAGATCAGGCCCCAGCCGCAGTGAATTTTTAGTGAGCCTGTGACAGCCACCACCACCACCACGTCTGTGCCAGGGCCTCTCTCCTCATCCATCAACCTGTCCCTAGTCTACACTGCCAATGTCTGGCAAACACAAAACACCTCTCTAGCTGTTTTTCCAGTTTCCACATTTTTACCCTTCCAACCTATTATTTACCATGTGTCCAGAGAAAGGATTTTAAAGTAGAAAATGGATCATGGTCAGTCCTTCAATGCTGTGCATGGGTTTTCTCATGGACACACTACAGTTGACCCTCAGCCTGCTCTGGCCCTGCTCTCCTCTGCAGCTCTCTGTACGCTCCTCTCCCTCATCACCCTCCCACTTCTGTCACACTGGTCTCCAGTTACACCAATCAATGGACAGGATCCCTCAATTCCCCAGAGAGTTTGCACAGTTTATTTCCTTTGCTTGGAAGCTAATTCACATGCTGGGTCCACCCCTCAATAAACCTCTACACATACATTCCTGGTAACCTGTAGATCCTAACTCAAAGTACATGATCCCACAACCAGGACAAACTGCTCTATTTTAAGCTTCCAGGACACCTTGATCTCCTTTGCGGCACCTATCTCAGTTCCTAATTATGTATGCATGTTTCTCTCTCTCCCTACACTACAAGCAGCTCCAAGAAGGTGGGCAGTGCCCTCCTTTTATTAGTACAGTCCACCACAGTGGAGATATGTTCTTGAATGAACAATGGCTTTGGGCTATCAGAGCCTGTTGTATCCACTGCCAAAACTCTGCCAGCAGACCATGTGGCTAAATGGGCACTGTCCCCCTCGGTGTGCCCCCGCCACAGGAGCACCTCTAACAAGATGGGCTTTGTCTACATTCATACCTATAAGTTTCTCTGTTCCCTATACTTCTACAGTCAAATGAATGTAAAGCACAATGACATATCTGAGTAGCAATTCTGCAGAGAGGAATCTGGCAGTGAGTTACTAAGAAACACCATCAACAAGAAGGAAAACATATATTTCAGCCAAAGAAGTCCTTGATGACAATACTGGCAAATGGACATACACACACAACCAAAGCAGTAGTTCTCAGAGCAGGGGCCAGGAAAGACTGAGTGTACACTTCAGGACATCACACAACTGAGGGCCTGACAGGCCCCTCTGCTGCCCCTCCTTCCACCCCCAGGGTCCAACTCTGCATGGCACACAGGAGAGCTGGAGTTTACCACCTGCCTTACAGGTCAACAACTAATGGGCATTTCTTAACTTACTGTGTAGAATGTTTTAAATGGCTCACAGCTGTGGTTAATTTTTAAAAGATGTTCCCCTAACATTTCAGTTCTCTCCTATGATGGGAATGAGAACAAAAGTAGTAGGAAGATGCCCCACGACGTACCTGGGTATAAATTTACACACAGCCACGGAGTGAGAGAGGATCAATTTCATCTATTTGCTCAACAAATAATGTGTACTTCAAATACGCCAGGTATGGTTCTAGGTACTGGGGATACACTAAATGAGATAAAACCCCCTCTTCTTAAAGAGGTAACCTTCTGGCAGACAGACAAGGTATATTTAAGAAAAATATAAAACAAGTTAGATGATAGGGCTGTGGAGAAAAGCAAATGCAAAGTAGAGAAGGGTTGATGGGAATGTGTGTATTAGGGAATCAACACTGAAATGTGAGGGTCAAGAAAAGCCTCACTGAGAAATGGCCAAATGGTCTTGTCAGCTAAGACCTGAAGAAGGATGACAGACTCGTGCAGATATTCTGAGAAAGACAGTTCTAGACAGAGGGGTCAGCAAGTGCCAGGGATTGAGGCTGGAGGCCCTGTCCTGAACACACAAGGAAATAGCAAGGGGAGGTGAGCTCAGAGCACTCGGCTTCATTCTGAGGCATTAAAGGCCTCTGGCTTTTATTCTGGGAGACAGGGAATGCAACTGACATGTTCTGGGCAGAGGCATGAGCAGGTGCTGTGTTTACAGCAAACTGAAGAGGCAGCAAGGGAGGAAATAGCAAGATCAGTTACTGGGCCACTGGGAACATCCAAGAGACAGTGAGGAGATGAGGGTAGCTTAGGCTATGGTGTGGCCATGAATGTGCTTCTATAAAGTTAGTGGATTCTTTGGGGAACTTGGAGGAAAGGCCATGGGGCTAACTCTAACTCCCTGGAGAGCTGAACAGAGTGGTCTTCATACTTCCTCCCTGCTATGGTTTGTATCCTAAGCAACCCCTAATGGTGCCCATGGTAGTACTACTGGGTAGAGCCTTTGAGAAGTGGGCCTTTGTGCTTAGATCACTGGTGCTGTGCCCCTGAAGGAGACTGTAGGACTCCCGGCCCATTCCCTGGTCTCTCTTCTGCTTCCTGACCTCGAACTGTGTGGTTTTGCTCTACCCACACACTCCCTGCCATGTTGTGCTACGTATCACAGGCCCAAAGTGATGGGGCCAATCAATCAAGGAGTGGAGCCTTCAAAACACAGCCAAAATCCCCAGGAGTTTAGCTCAGTGGTTTCTCCACCTGCTGCGCAAGCGCAAGGACCTGAGTTCAATCCTCGGTACAAAAAAAAAAAAGATAACACCTAAAACACAGCCAAAATAAACCCTTTCTGTTTATAAGCTAATTATCTTGGGTATTTGTTACAGTGATGGAATGCTAACTAAAACAGTCAGATATATTTTTGCTTTAATCATTATTAAAAAACAGTGAGTTTTGGGGCTGGGGATTTAGCTCAGTGGTTCTGCCACCTGCCTCGCAAGCCCAAGGTCCCAAGTTCAATCCCTGGTACCAAAACAAAAACAAAAAAAACCAGTGCATTTTAATCTCATATAGAACATATCATCATTACAGATAATAGAAATAAACAACAAACAAAAATCCTTGTATCACATTATAAAATGAACTAAACATACCAGTATTTCCCATACTGGTCACCGTTATTATATTTAGCATTTTCCATTCATTTATTCTGAAAATAAAAGATTTCTTCCCTAGTTAAGAGGAAAGACCATTCTATTCACGTGGCCACAATAGTTACTGAATATATATGGTTTTCTACTTTAAAGATCTAGTGATACATAACATAATAAATACCAAACAGAAGTATTCTTAACACGAAATGTTAGTGCAATTCTGAATTGCTCCAGCTACAGGCTTGAAGTCAAGCAAGAAGCAATGCTTGGCATATCCCCAGAGAAGCGGGTTTTTTTCCATATGAAGACTTTGCCCCTGAGAAACTGAGGATGATAACATAATGGAAAGCAAAATGGACAAGGCAAAATTCTTTAAAAATGAAAGCATTCTTGTTATTCTTTGCTCTGTTGATGAATGGGGGTGGGGCAAGGTCATGGCATACAACTATTGTCATGAAACCATTTCCCACTGCTCCAGGACTGGGAAGCAGCTTCTCACCTGCTGTAATCAAGCTATGATAGAACACTGCTGTTTGGTCAAACACCTAAGTTGGCCTGGTCTCTAGCTGTAAACAAAATTACACTCTGATTCTCAACATTTAAGTCTCAGAGCTGATAGGCCATATTTGTTCAGCTTCTCTCCACATGCACTAACACAGATAAATGACTCCTAAACTCAGCATGCCATCACACCCTTCAGAGCAGAGGTTTTCAACCCTCAATGTGCACATGAACTTCCTGAAGGACTTGGTAAAATGCAGATTGAGATATAGGTATTTCATGTGCAAATATAACCTGTACAGTACACACATCTCTCAACTTTTCTGAGCTAATTTAGTTCATCCTAATTTGTTTTTATTAACATTTCACAGGCATGTATTTCTTAGTTTCCTTCTAAAGTGTAATAGCAAAAGAATTTTTTTAAAAATACTATTTCTTGGGCCAGGGATTTAGCTCAGTAGTTTCGCCATCTGCTGTGCAAGCGCAAGGACCCGAGTTCGATCTCTGGTACCAAAAAAAAAAAATACTATTTCTTGTGCATGCCTGTAACTGCTACACTGTGGGAGGCTGAGACAGGAGGACTGCCAAGAATGAGGTCAGCCTGGGCAACTTAGTGAAACCCTGTCTCAAAATTTAAAAAACTGTCAACAGGCTGGAGATGTAGTTCAGTACAAGGCCTAGGAAATTTAGCCACTTAGCAGGAGTTTGTCTTCATGGTGGTGGTGGTGGGGGTGGGGGCGGTCTATGTAGCTCAGTGTAAAGGGCCCAGGTTCAATTCCCAGTCCTTGAACTAAACCAAACCAAACCTTCTCCACTATTTCTCTAGGACAAAGATCCCGAGGATATTTGTGAAAGACCTACTTTTCATCTCTTTAAAAATCCTCATGACCAAAAGGAGATGCTGTGGTTAAGAGGCTGACTGTGAGCAAGCACAGGAGAGGTGAGCCTGACCCTGCTGCTGTCCCTCTGGAATCCCGGAAACCAAAGAGAGGAAGGGGCCAAAAAGAGGCCCACAAACAGTGCGGCTTTGGAGAGCTATGTAATACATCTAAGAGATCACAAGCAACTGTTGACAGGCTTTGAGTGAACCAACTAGAAATTACCATGGAGCTGTATACAAGGGAAAAAACTATTAACCACAATCTAATAAGGATAAACAAAGGTTTACACTGCTTGGGGCAAGATTTTTTAAAAAACACCACCACCTACACAGAAAGGCAAGTAGCTGAAAGCAAACAGACTCACTTTATGGCTCCTGAGTCTTGAACCAAGGTTACACAGAAAAAGAGCTGAGCAGGCTCAGGATAAGAGAAACACACTGCATAGTCATGAGCAACCACCATTAACACCACTATGGAGTCAGCCTCACCTCGCCAAGGGTTCCTCCCTAGCACCCAGTATCACAAATAGGCCAAGCTGTGTGTCACTCCCCAAAGACGGTTTCACAACTGTCACAGGCACTGTGCCTAGAATATTTTTTATTTCCAGGCCAGCCCTTCAGACTTGAAAACTTGGCTTCAACTCAACCTTCTCTGTAAATCTTGTGCTCACTCCCTTCTGAGCACAGTGGACAGTATGCTGCTCTTCCAGGTTACTTCAACATCGGCCTCTGCTGTGAACTGTAAGTGTGGGGCACAGGCTGGTTACTTGCACGGCCCCCAGGCTGACTATAGTGTCATCCACAGTACAAGCTGGATGATGGGAGGGAGGTGGAGGGAAGGAAGACAGTGAAGAGGGAGTGATGATGCCAATGTTATCACCTATTACTTAGACCAAAGAAGGCATTCTGATCTGGAGAGGGGGGTTAGTTTGAATGAATTTATTCTGCGCAAAGAGGTATGAATCTCTGTGACCTTGATTAAGGTTTATCATTGTACATATGTTTATAATGTTTATTATTAAAGCTATTTAGAAATATTCCCACGAACTTCCTTTTAAGTATACACATTATAATACCAATAATCTTCTCTAATAACTTTATATGAAAAGCAACCTTTCATAGTTATTGGGAAGCCTGCAGAAAATATATCCACAGTATTTTGCCAAAGTCTAGAGTAAGTAGATCATTAAAGCAAATACAGGGGTGTCTACTTATCAAACAGACCGTCAACACTTTTGTAAGCCTTTGTTAGAATTCTATACACCAGAAAGTGAACTGTCTTCAAACTTTCCCTATCTCACCCAAGCCTTTACCCTAACTACTAGTGAGTACAGATAAGGGGGATTTTATTTTACAATCTGTTCTCCTTTTTTCTAAGAATCTAACATCCAAATTCATCTGAGTTTTATAATCCTGCCAATGGCAATTATCAAAACACAGCAAGTATGTGTTCTGTGGTCACTTCTATGAAAGGCCATTCTGATTGGAACTTTTCAGGGGAGTAATGCACAGGTGAGTAAGTCTGGGAATTACAGAACCATTGCTAATAACAATAATTACTATTTAGAAGTTTTTCCCTAAGCCACACCAGCACCATTTACACAGACACACAGACCCATGCCTGACACCACAGAACCTGGCTCTGCTTCCACTCAGGCTGCCTACTCAGCACTAGAACATCAGGGCCATCCTGGTCCTCTTCCCACTTGTCCCCAAGGTGAGGCTATAAACATGCCAGTCCTTACCTCCAGAAAGCCTGGTTCTTCTAGTCCCCTTTTTTCTCTGGGCTGCTGCCCTGCATAGCAACAGAATGGTCTCAGGGCTGAGCCATCCCCAGGCCAACCCAGACTGGTGTAGGGACAATGCCTAACAAAAGAGGCCACAGTCTCTGCACAGTGGGTGGCAGGTCCATTTGCATATGAACCAGCAGCCCCTCTCCTTTCATTATTGGAGAGGAAAGCATGGTGGCTTTCTCCACAATAAGAATGGTATAGTCTAGGAGGAGCTAATGAAGGTCTTTATCTCACTTCATGACACTTTTTAAAAAAATGTTGCTTCAAGATACACATTTTATTTTTTTCATTTTTTTTTAAAGATACACATTTTAGAACCATTAGCAAAAATAAGTTTTCTGGCCTAATATCAATAAATCAGATCTTAAGTTTATTTCTAGCACGTTTTTTAAAAATGCTAATTTATAAAATGGAAACCAACATGGCAGTGCAGCAATGAAGCAAATGCAAATTTTACTACATAGATTTCTTTTTATCTTCCAGGTTTTAAAGTGGCAACAAGTGGCATGGGCTGAGTGACAGAGAATATGGATCTGTGTCAAGCTGAAAAAGTCCCACACAGACCCTTGGAAATAAAACCCAACTAGGGAGGACTGCAGCAGGAACAGCAGTGACACTCAGAGAAGGATGTCTGGTGGTCACTCTGGATCTGAGGCTGTACATAATCTCTCATTTTCAAAACAAAAAACTTTTATTCCTAATTCTGCCAGCTCTTCTGTATATTTAGCCAAACTAGATGGGAAATAAAGTGGAAAATTCAAAGTGAACATCTGCTGCTTCTAAAAAGCCTCAGTTGGCTGTAAGGGAGAAGGACATCTCTCCTTGGAAAGACCCAATCAGAGGGCAAAACGCCCCCTTCCCCCAACCAGTCCCCTTTCTGTCCCATGAAGTTTCACACTCACCCTTGAAGCAACCCACAGTGGAGATGTAAACTAACAGGGAAGGTTGATGAAATGAGCTCCAAGATGGTAACTGCTCTCTTGGCTCAGTGCTGCTCAGGAGATTTCTTGGGGGCCCACAGAGTTCTCCTTCCACCCCATTCCACACAGCCTTCCCCAGGAGAGGCCTGATCCACACTTGTCCTCCTGCCGAGACAAGACCACACACCTGCTCCAAGGAGAGAACTTAAGCAGGACAACAGGATGTGTGTTAAGCAGGCTAACGGGAAAAGCAAGTGTTACACAAGCCAGGAATCAATAACTAAAGTCAAGCAGACTCACATGGCCCAGTGCAGCTGCTTCCCAGGGACTGGGACACAAACCCCTCTTTGAACTGGCTCTATCGCCCCAGAATGCAGACAAGAGATACCCTGCTGCCAGACCCAGCCCACGGGAATGGACAAGAGCCAAAGCTCTGGCCAGAGCCAGAACCTGGGATGTATCCTAGGACAAAAGCAACAGGTCTCTGTTCCTGACTTATCAAGAACCAAAAGAAATTCCAGGACCTTTCCGGAGTTCCTTGCTACAGACCTAGAAACTCAGGAATCACATAGGGTACCCTACAGATCATCAATGTACGTTGTATTTCACCCTCTCTTAGACATTTCACCTCTCTGCAGACATTTGCAGAAGAGCAACACCAAGGGACAAATAAGGGCCAAACTGGAAAACAAGCAAAGAGGGAAGTGGGTGGGTCTTAGAGTTGAGGAAGAGAGAGAAAAAGGTTTCTTTTTCTTCTTCAGTGAAAATATTTGTCTAGAATTGAGAATGAAAAACAATGACAGAAAGCACTAGTGAGCTGAGGAAGGGCAACAGCACTGTCCTCAGCAAGAACACAGAGTTCGCAGGCGCCTGGGCGTGTGCTCCCTTCCATTCCGCCCACCCACAGTTTCTGGGGCAAACAAATTCTTGGCTGAGCAGGTATGTGTGGGAGGCCTGATTATTTTCCAGCCATTAGAGCTTTGCCCAGAACTACTTAATCAGGACTTTCCAAGGTCATACATTCAAGTATGATGCTATAGCCTTACAGAACAAATAACTGGGCTCCATGGGGCAGGAGGGTGGAGAGTGTGGGGAACGAAAGAAGGAATTAACCAATCTCATGTGATCCAGCTTCCCATCCACTCTCAGCATGTGTCTATCTGTAGTCTCAGAAAACTGGTATACAGGGCAAATACATAGCTAGAAGAAACAGTAGCTAATTTTAATATGTAGTGCTTGCTCTGTGGCAGCCACAATTCTAAACGCTCTGTATACACTGACTTTTTTGACCCTCCACCATCCTTTGAGGTGGGCACTATTATCATCATCATGCCCAATTACAGACATATACAGAGGCTAAGTAACTCACCTAGGGACCACAGCTTGCCAGAGCATGAGGTGTTCTGGGCATCTGCACTTTGCTCTACTCCCTCTCTCTGTTCTGCTGAGCTGCTCATCAAAAAAGGCCAAACTATACTAACAGTCCTTTCCAGCTAAGGCATATCCACTCAATTTTCCCAATTCAGTAGTTTGCTTTAAGAGACTTTCTGGAAAGGTATATTATCAGAGATTGTACCCGCCTTAAGGTAGACACAGGACAGCACTAACCCTGCTGTTTCAAAAGCCAGTGACTTAGGAGGACTAGGAATGTCCCATAGCTCCAACCATCATTCACCCTCATGTACTATGTGATTAGAAGCAGTTCTAGTCAAAGCTTTGATCCCTGTTAAAATGTAAAAGCTTCTGGGAGGTGTATATTTTATGGCCTACATTTTATGCAACTTGCATTGTTATCTTTTTAAATCCAGCTTAGTGATAAGACCTTCAGGTGGTTTCCAGGCATGCGATTCACCTGTCCAGTTCTGACTTGTTCACTGCAGAGTGCCTGGAACTCTCCAGGGTCTGGCACAGAAACAGATGCTCAAGATCACCAGTGTGGGTGTAGGGCAAACTTATGACACACGGGTATCAAAGGGGCAGCCAAGTTGGGCAAAGTTATCACCCAAAAAGTCTAAATGTGAACAAGTAAATCACTGTCAGCATTAATTCTGAAAGATGCTTCAGGCATATTTAAATACTGTAATATACAGAATAGTATTTCTGGGAGCTTATTAATGGATTTTATTTAAAAATACATTTAGAGCTACTACATTTAAATGAAGACAATAATCTATTTAGGAAGGTATTGATACCCACATAATTTCCTCCTAAAATTATGCCTTCCCAAATGACAACATGCTCTAGGACACAATCTTTCCTCCCTAACATTCTCATATCCAACTTTTACGAGTCCACAAATGCCACTATAATGCCTCTTCCCGGAAGCGTTCCCTGACTTTCACCCAGAAGAGGTTGCGCCCTCTTTGTACTTTAAGTTATTTTGCTTTCTTTTTGAATACAAACTCATTCTCTGAATTGTAGTTATTTTCTCATCTGCACTATTTTATTGTTCCCAACTTCATCCCTGTAGTCCATAGGGAGACAAACATTTTTCATAACATAAATCAGGCTGCTGTTAAAAAAGAGTCCTACAGGAGGAAGTGCTCCAAGGACAGCACAGACATCTGCTTCTAATGTTCAAATATATTTTAGGTATTTTTAAAGCTGTAGTTTTAAAAATCACACTAAAATGATTTATATGTGAGCTTTTTACAACTGCAGATCACTACCCATTACTGTGATGGTGCCAGGGAGCCTGCCTGGGGCCCTCACCACCCTCCCAGGAGGCTGCTCTGCTGGCCTGGTACACACATAGGAACAACTGGGTGTGACACTGCAAACGGAAGCTGGAGCCCTGACTGGATTTTATGAAACCCACATGTGTGCTGGGAATGTAATCTTGGCTACTTTGGATGTTGAAGCAGAAGAATCACCAGTTCAAGGCCAGCCTGGGCTATATAGCAATACCCTATCTTAAAAAGTAAAATAAAAAGGGCTAGGAACGTAGCTCAGTGCTCCCTGGTTTCAAATCTCAGTGCAACCAAAAATAAACACACATATGCGCAACCTACCCACACTCATTAAGCACACAAAACCAAACCATACCTGACTGTGGGCTTCCCAGCATACTAGGCAAGACCCAGAGACATCTGCTTGGCCTTGCTTTCACTGCACTGAGAAAAGTACTTTGTGATAGCAGCCTACCTGAGGCATAAATACATCTTCTAAAGAGTGAGATGTTTCCTGTGTGACTAGGTTTATGATAAGCAATGTGAGCAACTCCTTCTTCAGTTTAATTACAGGGTTACAGCTTTGAAACAAACATTCCCTACCTCACGCTGGGTGGACTGAAAAGATCCTAGGACCCTAAGCCAAGTTATTCAAAACAAAAAACTAACAATTTGTAAATAATTCTCTGTAAGAACAGATTTTAAAATACAGTATTATGTATTTAAAGCAAAGTACAGAATTTCATTAAACACAGAAGATGGTACAAGTATAGCTATTGTACAGTTAACAATACCTGATTTAAACTTTTTCTTTCTTGGGCTGGGGGTGTAGCTCAGATGTAGATCACTTATCTACCCTGTGCATGGCCCTGGGTTCAATCCCCACCATCTCAAAAAAATAAACACTTTACTTCTAGATAAATCTCATTGCTCTGACATTGCAGTAAATAAAGATTATAAATGTAAATTTCAAAAAGAAATCTGTACTAGTAAAATTTCACTTTATCAGTTTTATATGGTAGAGTTTCATATGAGATTTCAGTTGGTGAAGGATTTATTGCCTCCAAAAAGTTTGAAAACTTGTGTCAGTGTCTCTGACAGTTTATGGACTGGCTGGGAGAAGACCTAGCTGAGAAGTAAGTAAGTAGTTGAGTGAATCAGATTTTTTTGGAAAGAATATTTTGGAATGCGAATATTCTACACTATTTTTTTTCAGATAAGAAAAATATATTTAAGAAACATACCGAAGATGAAACAGACATTGGCAAAGTGAGAACTCAGCAACCAGGTTTTTATGGTTTGTAATCATAGACAGCTAAGTTCACATGCAGACTGTTCCATTTGCTGGCTCTTGGTCAAACTCTATGAGCCACAATATCCTCCTACATAGAAATGGGAATGATCCTATCCAGGGTTTGTAATGTGAACCAAACTGAGATGCTTAGTGGTCCTCTAGAATAGCCAGGCTTCAAGTAATAAGCACACAGTAAATGTTAGTGGTAGCTATAAACTTCTATTTTGTTGTTGTTGTTGTTGTTATTGTTCTAGAAAAAGAGAAAAACTATCTACACATAGGGTATACGAATCCAGACTTCTGTGTTTTGAAGGTGGAAACTGAAGGAATTAGGTGCCAGAATTTCCCAGAGCTGTGATTATGACAGTTGCAGGAAACTCCAAACTTGGAAGCAAAGCAGAGAATGGCTCACCCCTTAGAGCTTATTTTCCCAAAACTGGAAAGGAAAGGGCCATGACCTCAGAAAAAGCAAAGCTCTGATCCATTCATACATCTACCTGCTGGAGGCAGGATGTCAGATGAAGATGCTGACCAGGCTCTGGTGGACACCATGGTGAACACATGCTTCTGGTCACTGTGCAAATGCACCCTGACGGAAGCAGAACCACTAACAGAGCCTCCCTTCTGAGTGGACCACAGGACACAGGATCAGGTGAGGCAATAACATCTACAGAATGGGTGAGGATCAGAAATCACTCTCTCCTCCTGGGGCATAAGAGGATCCAGTGATGACGGAGAGCGGATTTTCCACTTTTTGAAAGACAAGAATCCACATTAGTTTGACTCAGAAAAATCAGGTTCAGCCTAAGGTCACACAGCTAGTAACAGAAGAACTAGACTCCAAATCCAAGACTATCTAATTCCAAAAGTCCTCACTATGATGATCCCTGCTGCCCCTATGTAAACAAACTTATTCAAGCCTGAGCTCCACTAATGGTGGATCATTGGCAGTGTCTTCTCAGTGGAAATCAGTAAATAAATCTTTCCATTAAAAAAAGACGTGCTAAGTGAAAAAATCCTGATTCTTGGCAGGAATATCTGGATGGGCTAGATCAAAGAGGGTGCACTTACTATGCTTCCCTCTGTAAAGAGGAAGGTTGGGAGAAAGAATACACTGTGAAGATTCTGCATTAAAAAAATTAATGCAGGTTAGTCTTCAGTTTCTCCAGAGATGTTTAAACCTGATAAGGAAAAACAGAGCGAAGGAAGGACAGCCACTCCTTGAGGCGGCCTGGTTGGGACAGTCCTGTGAATAAGCTGATGAATATACCCTGACCCCACTTTCAGCAGCCAACACTTGGCAAAAGCTGACAGACTAGTATGTCTAAGCCTCTATACACCTTGGCTTTGAAGGCAAATCTGATACAAGCAAGAGACTTGTTGATAATCAGGTATGGAGTGTTTACAATGAAATTCTGGAGGGAACAACTGGTTTGATATATACCAAAGAGCTTTTTATTTTCAACCTGTATCCATTAATAAGGCCCAGATTTGTATGAGTGGCTTAATGCCACCTTCCAAAGGAAACTGTTTAAAGTTATTATGTATATTATACCTGTGAGATGAATGGCTTAAGTATGGAAAAGTGCTAAAGGAATTTTTATTGTCCTGCTAGAGGTCAATGACAAAAGTGAAGGTCTACAAACCATTGTGTGAGAGGACAAAGCAGGATTACTCGAGAAGGTTGCCAAGGATGAGGACTTTGTAAAGGTTACTAATGCTAAACTCTTGGGCATCCATATCACCTGGGGATGGGTCAGATATGAAGGGACTCAGGATCCACATCAGATCTTGCACATCTGCCAAATACTTAGGATATATGCATATATATGGTTATGTTTGAGAAGTACTGTACTTAAGGAGCTTACTAAGAACTATCAGAACTATTATACCTAAGTACAGTTTTCTGTTCTGCGATTTTAATCCTCAGATCTTTCGTATTTCAAAGGAAGAGAAACACTATTATGCTCCCTTAACAAAATGACCCAATATTCATCAATGTATAGACTGACTCTGGATAGGCTGTTGCACAGCAAATGTTTTCCTTCATATGTTTTAATACCATTGGTGCTTTCATGTTTTGTTTCTGAGTGTTCTCAAATGACAGCAACTCCTAGAACTTTTTTAAATGCCTCTAAGAAAAAGAAGATTAAAAATTCCTTTTCAGCTCTTACGGTCTTTTCCCCTTCTCTATCAAGTAACCAATAGTATGCTCATGAATTCTTGAACATATTAATGGAGAGATATAGATAAATAAAATTTGTAATACAGAAATGTTCTTTTTAAACAAAAAATTGCATCCATCGCTGGATCACCTCAAGCTTCTTTCAATTCATCTATGTTTAATTTAAATGTCTAAATCTAAACTTCTTGAGGTCAGTGACAGATTTTATTCTCTCTAGCCTCAGGTGCTGCCTAAAGCAACCACAAGTAAAGAAAGAATACTCACTAGTTACCATTTAGGTAAAACATACTAGATATTTGCAAAAAAAAAAAAGAATACCTTTCTCCAATCACAAAAGTTAAGAAAGCTTGAATGACAGAAAAATTTTTATTTTCAAATTTAAAATCAATTTTATGTTATGTCTGGGTAGTATATGGATTAAGGGGATCAAACAGAACTGGATTGTCAAAATAAGTAAATACACATACACATAAGCAGTAAGGAGAACATTTGAATGCAAATTAACCTTAAAAAACTGTATCAGTAAACAGTCTTAAATAATTCTGCACTGGAAACTTGTCACCCATTCAATAAAAATATTTAATGAATTATTCCTGTATGCTAGTGTGGCATATTATTGTTGTAGTCCCTAATGAACCACACTTTCTCACAACCTTGTGTCATGCCAGGCACAACATGATATTGGGCTAGACCAATGGGACACTAACAAGCATGTTAAGTGCTTGCCTATCTGGGCCTGTTCTTTTAGAGTACCTTAAATTCAGGTGCCATAAAAAGATTAAGTAAGCCATTGTTATGGTTAGATCTAAACCATCTTCCAAAGTCCTATGTATTCAGAGGTAGGGCTTTTGGAAGGTGACTGGATCATGGGGATGCTATACCCATCAGTGGATTAATCCATTGATGAGTTCATGGCTGAATATACTTGTTAGGAGGTGGGGCCTCAATGAAGGTGGGTCACCAGGGGCATGACCTAAAATCATTTTTGTTGTTCTTTTGAGACAGGGTCTTGCTACGTAGTTCAGGTTGGTCATGAACTCACTATGTAGACCAGGTTATCCTCAAACTCATGGCAGTCCTCCTACCTCAATCTCCGGAGTGCTAGGATTGCAGGTGTGCACCACCACACCTGGTTCTGAAAAGGCTATATTCTTGTTCCTGGTTCCTTCTTTCTCTCTCTCTGCCTTCTGGCTTCCATGCCCTCCCACCATGGCATTTTTGCCTTGTAGCCAGCAAACCATAGACTGAATCCCTCAAACTATGAGCC